CGGATTAAGGAAACAATTAATTTTGCATATTTTCTATATAAAAACACAATTACCCATACACCTAACCATATTTCAACCAATAGAAAAATAAATTACATAATAAAGTTAATAAATTTTGCCTTGAAAACCGAAAACGACACTTATTTTGTGACGAAAAATTTTCTCTACAACGACACTTATTATGAAACGGAGGGAGTATTTACGAAGTGATGGCATTGGAACTCTCAAGTTAGTTGGAAAATTTAATCTATATACTACACTTAATCAATAATTATTTATTTTAACATATAATTAACCATGTATTAAAAAAAATTCAACAATTTTGATAATTATCATTATGTAAAATAGTTTATATTCTTTTATTAAGTCTTTATTAACCTTAATGAATAATTAAATTAGTTAAAATATAACTATATAACCATAAATTGAAAAAAAATTTCAGTGATTTAATAATTATTATTATATAAAAGTAGTTTATATTGTGTTATCCAAAATCATAGTTTTTTTAAAGATAAATTTTTAATATATATTTAAATATAATTTCATGTACAAAGTAATACAAAGTATTTATGCTATGATGAAAAACTTTGTATATAAAGAAGTTTTGATTTATTTTATTATTAAATATTTGAATGTATAAATAATTATTTATCCTCTTAATACTTGAATTGAAAATATAATTATCTTTAAATATTTATAAATTATTAAATCTGTATATACTATACGGACAAAACAATTAGTAAGATTTTATAAGGAAAACTATTGGTGGCACAAAATAACTAAAGAAATGGTAATACAAAAAATTAAAATATTGACTAGAGCCTCCAAATATAAATTTATTATAAACACAGGGAGCTGTTTTAACTTTTAACACATAAATTCAATGCCTCCAAATAACATTATAAAAACACATCGAGATTACCAAGAAACCCTAACTACAACAATTATTAGTACGTCAAAGTCCACTTTTATGAAATTAGTAATGTTTTGAATGAAGAAAGAAAAAAAGAAAATACCAAAACAAAAAAATGAAGAAGAAACAGTAAAAAGAAGAGAGTGCTTTCGAAGACTCTTCCCTCGAATAAACGCAAAGAGGTGACAGCCGTTATTAATACCGCCTGTCGTACTTTCTTCCACAGACCTAACCACACACACAACACAACACTCTCTCTCTCTTTGCTTACCACTTCCGAGACAAATAGAGAATTCTTGTAAAAGCTTTTACCTTTTAGAGGAAAGAACAGTGCAGATCTTAGAAGGATCCGAAGACCCGTCACGAAAATAAACCAATTAACTATAACCAAGTCAAAGTCTTATTTTTACCCACAAGACAAAAAGTTGAATTCCATAACCCCTTTTTATTTCTATCTTCTCTCTTCTGTCTTTAGAAGAAGTCTCCAGCTTCATTTGACTTAAACTGTCCCAGCTGTTTTGCTTGTCTTCATGCTCGTCTGTTTTGTGGCTTCTCTGAGATGACTCACGTGTTAGTACAAAGAGAGGGACAGGGAAAGAAAAGTAGAAGATGGGACATGACATTCATATATTTCTTCTTCTTCTTGGTTGTCATATTTCAAATAGGCTTGTCCTCATCATCAGCTTCTGTTGATTCTCGTCGCCATTTTTTGGTCTCGTCGCCGCCGAGAAAGACTATGGTGTACGCAACGGCGCCGTTTCGTGGGGCGTTGAAAAGCGAAGATAACATTTATGGAGACGACAAGAGAGTAGTTCACACGGGTCCCAATCCTCTCCACAACTAACTTTTACGTGTTGCTATTATTATTATCCATCACCCTCCACACCCAACCTACGAAGACTACAAGCAAGACGCAAACGCTAGACGCTGATCACGACCCAAAGGTACCTTAGTGTAATATCAAGAATGTCATAGATTTTGTAAGTTAGAATCCTCTTTTTTTGTATCTCATGGAGCATAGAAAAACATTTTCGATTTTTTGTAGGATTTAGTTAAGTTATGTGGAACTTTATTAATGTTAGTGTTAAGAGTTGAAAGGTTACTCGCCACTCATTCCTTAAATTTCATTTTCGGTTAAAACGCAAGTAAAATATGGTGTTTTTGTTTGTTTGTTGTAAGTCATATAAAGAAGATTAAATTTTGTTATGATCTACATAAATAAAGAAGAAGAAGAAATAATTGGTTAAGTATTAACCAAAGGATATAATGGTGTGTTTCATATGATTATCATTTATTACACAATAAGTGTGCTATTCTTCATTTGGTGGTTTAGCTCTTTAGGTCTCGTATAATTTTCCACATCTGCCTTCATAAATCCTTTTTCCGACACATACCTACCCCTAGCTACCAAATGGGTTACTGTACATAGTTAGTATGAATAATTATCTCTAATACTAGTATTATACTATTACCAATACTAGTATACAGTGATTAGATCAATCAACTGCTCATCATGACTATTCATTTGACAAATCTTAATCTGCAACGCGCACAAAAGATCTTCCATGACTCCATCTAACACTTAGCATTATTATGTTCAATTAGAAAAGTCAATAATACATCTGTATAATGTATCAAAGTAGTGAAAAAATGAAATTTGACATTTCCATACCTACCATTACAACCTTGGTCTCGGGGAACATTGACACCATAGAACGTTAAGATACAACACATTTTCGGATTCAAACATCTCCATTAGTTATGAAAGTGCAAGAATTGGATTTAAGGGTTCAAATGGGATAGTAGTATAATTTGATTGAATTCATTATTATTATTTTTGGTAAAATTCATTATTATTTTTGAATCCACTAAATTTGTAAACATGTATATTGAATACTCCTAACAGATTAATGTGATTCTACAGCCCCCTGATAAAAAGAAAAACAAAAAAAGTGAAACCTCTTTCAAAAGTGTTCACTTAATTATGAAAGATACAACACATTTTCGGATTCAAACAAGATCCATTAATTATGAAGGTGCAAGAATTGGATTTAAGGGTTCAAATGGGATAGTAGTATAATTTGACTGAATTCATTATTATTATTTTTGGTAAAATTCATTATTATTTTGAATCCACTATAGTTGTAAACATGTATAATGAATACTCTTAACAGATTAAATGTGATTTTACAGCCCACTGATCAAAAGAAAAACAAAAAAAAAGTGAAACCTCTTTCAAAAGTGTTCACTTTCAGTGAGAAATGAATGTAAGAATGAAGTTAACACATGATCAAAGAAATAGTTCTGTGACTTTATTCACAGTATCCATAATTTCTCTCTGACTAGATCCTATTTGAAGTATTTTAAAATTTTGTCGTCATCATTCATTATTATCTAGCATTTTTTCTACAGGTTTAAACATTTATGTCTAGTAAATGGAGGAGATAACGGGATTGAATGACACCAGGGTAATATTAATTTGAACTAGTATTTTAAAATGGTCAGGCCATGGCTGTGACACTGTCCATCATCTTTATTGCTCTGATCTGCCTCTTTTCTTTACCGTTCCCCCTTTCATAAGCAGTCACGTCAATAAATGTTCATAATCGTTTAAAAAAAAAAGATTTGGCACCATAGATAATCTCAGAAGTGAGCAAGATGACTCCTTTCTAAATAAAATTTTGCAACCACAAGAGATAAATCACTCATGCCGAAGTCCAAGACCAAGTTCTCTACACACAATGTGTAGACAGTTGATTCGAATACGGAACTATAACAAATTAACAAGTGAAGGGAATTAACCCTAAGACAAGATCTTGCCATTACTCGCGAGTTATCGTTGTTTTGTTACGGCGTGTGTGTTTTTGTAAATAAAAAAATTGGTGACACGACACTATATATATGAAACGCATGCAATGATTAAGATAAAAAATCAAATGTCATCTCAAGAAAAGGGCAAGACAAAAACCGGTTCAAGAGTAGAGGCATCGAAAACATGTAGGAAACTTGAATTTTTAAGACCGGGTTTGTTTAATGTTTTGTCAACCACGAAGACCCAATAACGTTCGAAACTCATTGGGAATTGTGTAAACGAGATTAAACATTTGTACTACATTTAATTCGTGACTATAAACACACTCGTATAAATGTGTTATCGAGACATATAACGGTCTTAATTACGAGGCTACATTTATAGAAGTCCCAAAGATTCTCTAGCTATAACTATCGGTCAAAGATATTCGTTCATAAATTCCCCATTTGTTAAGCCTAAGTAATTAATTTCATAAGAATGTGTGTTCTTGTTAATTCGGCACATAAGAGCACCCTCAATGCAGCATCTTAATGAGGTGCTTATGTTTTTTTTGATTTAAAAAAAATTGATAAACATAATAATAAAGGAGAATACGGTGCTTCTTTAAGCGTTAAGTTGAGAGTGCTTCTGGGACACGTGTTGCCCATGCGTTCTTCCTCTCTCTCTCTATCTCAATCTCTCTCGAAACTCAATTGTTTCTTCGAACTCTCCGTCTCCTCTCTTGTTTCTCTCTCGACGAATCTCTTCCACGCCTCCGCGACGGCTCCGTTATCAATCAACGATGATGTCCCCGTCTCTCTCGATCTCCTCTCTGCCTCATCGTTAACAATCGTGGTTGGTCTGTCCTCGCCTCTCTCTCTCTATCCTCCACCGCTCCTCGACGAAATCAACGATGGTCCAACCTTGTCTCTCCGTCGCTCTCCTATTGGCCTCGTCGTCGGTGATAAACAACTCGTCCCTCTCTCCTGGACGATGAACCTCTCCGCCTTTGTCGGTGCCGATCTCCTCGAGGATGAAAATCCTCCATCTCTCCTCTACGTAATCAAAGCAAAGGTAAATGTGTGAATCTTTTTTTTAAAATAGTTTATGTGTTCGTATCTCATGATTTGTGTGTGTATTTTACTGTCTTCAGATGGATGGAGCATGGAGCATATGAGATTCTCGTCTGCAATACAGGTAAAAATTCAAGACTCTTTGATTTGTTGTTCACATAGGTTTGGCTATGCGTATGGTGTTTTGTTGTGCTTTGTTTGTCTCTGCAAATGGTGTTTGATTTTTGATTAAGACTGACTTTAGTTTTAATCATTCTCGAATTCATTAATTTGTTAACTTTTAATATGTGCTGAATTATTATCAGAAGAAGCTTTGCTCTGTTACTCATTCTCGAATTCCATCAGAATAGCTATGCTATAGGTTATGTGTTTGGTTGGTTTGCATTGATGGATCAATTGGTTAAGTGTTTGGTTGGTTTGCATTGATGGATTATGGTTGTGAGAGTGGATAATAGCTACGGTATAGGTTATCTGTTTGGTTGGTTTGGATTATCTTTAAATTGCCGATAATAAATGAGTTGCTTTGCTGTTGATTGTGGTTGTGAGAGTGTAATAAATTAAAGTTAGGTAAGTGTCATTTCTCTGTTAACACTCTCCTCTTCTTCCTATCTGTTAAATATCTCTTCAAAACTCTCCTCTTCTTTCTATCCGTTTTCCTCTCCTCATTAACTTCCTATTAGCTTTCCTCTTCTTCCTATCTCTTTTCCTATCCTCATTCGGTTCTCAAATGGCTTTTGATCCATTTGGTGAACGTTCTAACTTTGTTGATCTGCTCAGCAGTCAACAAAATCTATACTTTGGCAGTCAAAGCACTGAGCCTTTAGGAAGTCAACCACCGCCCAAAGAAAGACAAACCTGGACCCATTCTGACGATGTGCTGCTCATAAGCTCGTGGTTAAACACGAGCAAAGATCCCGTTGTAGGGAATGAGCAAAAGTCCAATGCTTTCTGGAAAAGAATAGCTGTGTACTACTCTGCTCACCGCGATGAAGGTGAAAAGAGAGAGGCGAATCAGTGCAAGAATCGATGGCAGAAAATCAACGACGTAGTATGCAAGTTTTCTGGAGCATACGAGGCTGCAAAGAGAGAGTGCACCAGTGGGCAAAATCATGATGATATTGTCGACAGAGCCCACAAGATATACAAAGCCAACCATGACAAATATTTCACTTTAGATCATGCTTGGAAAGCCTTGCGTCACGACCAGAAGTGGTGTGACTTGTTTACTGCTAAAAAACAAGGAAGCTCCACGAAGAGGAGGTGTGAGGATGGTTCGACGTCGGCAAGCTCTAAAGTTGATTCTGCTCTTGATGATGATGGAACTACTCGTCCCCCTGGTGTGAAGGCTGCAAAGAAAGGCAAAAACAAAGCAGTGGATGATGGGAAGGATTTAGCTGAGTTTCACGAAATGTGGGAGTTAAAGAAGAGGGATTTAGAGGGCAAAGAAAGGGTCCACAAGTGGAAGGTACTGGAGCGACTCCTTGCTAGAGAAGGACCTCTTGAGGACTATGAACAAGCTTTGAAGAAGAAACTCAGCCTTGAGTTGATGTAAAATTGTTTGTTTTATTCTAGTTTATGTTCTCTTGTTCTATTTTAAGTTTAAGTCATGTAGTTCTATTTTAAGTTTAAGTCATGTAGTTCTATTTTAAGTTTAAGTCTTTGCGTCATGTAGTTTATGTTTAAGTCTTGTGTCGTGTAACTTGTTCCATAAGTTTATGTTTAATATATATGTTACTTGTTTCTGTTGCTTGTTCCATAAGTTTATGTTTAATATATATGTTACTTGTTTCTATTGATTGTAACTTGTTCCTGTTGATTGTTACTAATATATATGTAACTTGTTTCTGATGATTGTTGCAGGTGGGTTAATGGGAAGAAGGCACAATAGAGATGTGGTCAAAGAATGAGGTGCTACCAGGTTGATGTCTCTTTACTCTCTTTAACATATTGTTACTGTCTTGTATAACAATATGTATAACAAACCCGTGACAGAAGCTTGTTCTCTTGTGATGGTTGATGTCTCCTTGCTTGTTGTTTTTATTGTAGGTGGAGGAGAAAGACATGGTCCGTGACAGAAGAAGACTTGTGTTGTCTTGTCTCGAAGACTTGTGTTGTCTCTTTGCCCGTGACAGGAGAAAGACATGGCCCGTGACAGAAGAAGACTTGTGTTCTCTCTTTGCTTGTTGTTAATATTTATGTTGTGTTGTAATATATTGTGTTTCACGTTTGTTTTAAGTTGTACCAACTTATTTGTTATTATAAAGACAATACCCTCTTGTTTCAGACTCACAATACTCACCAAACTCTCAAACACCAAACTCTCAAACACCAAACTCTCTTTTCAATCGAGCTTGATATTAAAAAAAAAATACTCACCAAACTCTCAAACACCAAACTCTCTTGTTTGATCACTCTTTTTTTTTCTTTTTTCTTTTCATACCATATATGGCTTCCTCATCTCAAAACACTTTTGATGAATCATCTGATGATGCATTAGATGAGATGTTTGATCAAAAATTTGATCAAAAATTCGATCAAGTTTTTGAGAATGCGAGCATCCGAGCTAACCAAGAAGAACGAAGGAAAAAAAAGAAAAAACGAGCTTATATCGAAAGACATCGGGAGGAAGGCAATGTACGTTTATGGAACGATTATTTTAGTGAAACTCCAACATATCCAGATAATTATTTCCGCCGGCGTTTTCGAATGAACAAGACATTGTTTATGCACATTGCGAATCGACTCTCGAATGAAGTTGAATTCTTTAGCCAAAAAAGAGATGGTCTCGGAAGGTTCGGTCTCTCAACACTCCAAAAATGTACAGCAGCCATTCGTCTATTGGCATATGGTAATGCGGCGGATGCGGTCGATGAATACCTCCGGCTCGCTGAATCTACAGCTCGGTCATGTCTGGAGAATTTTGTAGAAGGAATAATTCAATTGTTCGGCGATGAATACCTAAGACGACCAACACCTACTGATCTTCAACGTCTACTTTATATCGGAGAACAACGTGGGTTCCCCGGGATGATAGGAAGCATCGACTGTATGCATTGGGAGTGGAAGAATTGTCCCACCGCTTGGAAAGGGCAATATGCTCGAGGTTCGGGTAAGCCAACAATCGTTCTAGAGGCGGTTGCTTCATATGATCTCTGGATATGGCATTCATTTTTTGGACCTCCAGGTACTTTAAATGATATCAATGTTCTAGATCGTTCACCTGTTTTTGATGACATAATAAACGGTCAAGCGCCACAAGTCACGTACTCTGTCAATGGAAGAGAGTATCGATTAGCTTACTATCTCACCGATGGTATTTATCCAAAATGGGCAACTTTTATCCAGTCTATTCCATTACCACAGAGCTCGCAAGCAGTTTTGTTTGCTCAACGTCAAGAAGCTGTCCGAAAAGATGTCGAGCGTGCTTTTGGAGTCTTGCAAGCTCGCTTTGCCATTGTAAAAAATCCAGCACTTTTTTGGGATAAAGCAAAAGTTGGGAAGATTATGAGAGCATGTATCATACTCCATAATATGATTGTAGAAAATGAACGAGATGGATACACTCAGTATGATATTTCAGAATTTCAACAAGGAGAAGACTTCGGAAGTTCACATGTTGATCCCACGTTTTCTACAGATACCCCTTCAACGATCCCCGATATGATGCGTGCTCGAACTACAATTCGTGATAGACAAATGCATCAACAACTGAAAGCTGATTTGGTTGAACATATATGGCATCGATTTGGACATGATGGAGGCAACAACTGATCTCGGGATATGATTTCAAATTATTCTCGTTTATTTAGTAATGTATGTTTTTATGTTTTTAATTTAAAATCTATGTTTTAAATGTTATCTTTTAGTATATCTTATATAATAAATAAATTTTATGTTAAATAAAACAATGTTTAATTTTTTTTTTTTTTTTAAGAAACCCAAAATAAGCAACTTGCATTGGAGGCACAAAATTTGGCGGGTGCTTAGCGTTGATTCTTAAACCACTTTTACAACAAAAAATTATTAAACAAAGATTAAGCACCCCTAATAAGCATTTTGCATTGAGGGTGCTCTTAAGTAGCTAGCTAGGTCTCCAGCTCTTTTCTTAGTTGGGCGTGGAAATAATAAATACAAAAAAATGTCAATAACACATTTCATGCGGATTAAAAAAGTGATACAATATATTGATGTATCTTACTAGTATTTAAATAAAAATTGATTGATTGTATGAAATGATAAAAAATATTATATATCAAAAGTTAAGTTGGAAAATTGAAATGTAAAAGATAACACCTTTTGAAACCAGAAAAATGTTAAAATGACACGTTTTAAGAAAGAAAAAAAGAATATAAATATATTAACTAATGTTATGAAATTTTTTTGACTCCCATTACAGTACTATCAAACTTCAGCCTTTATAGTATAAACTTAATCTTTTGTATTTTTGTAGATATGTCTACGAAAGGTCTTACTCTTACACAACATCTAAATGCATTTATCCTTTATTGTTTGAACTCTAATTAAACAAAAAGAAAATTCTATCAGTCAAAAAAAAAAAAAAAAAAAATCTATACATTTTGGCACGTAAAATACATGTTAACTTTTTCTATGATACTAATTGCATAGAGTTATCATATTTGTATAATACGTAATTTGCATGAAGGTAAAATACAATTTACCTCAGCCCAGTAGAGGAAGCAACAGTAGGCCCAACAACCCATGTTGGACCCATAAAGAGTAGAAATTGGAAGGAATTAAACCGGTTACGAGAACCAACCAGCCGACTGTTAGTTAGATATATGATTGGAGGAAAGAGGAAGAGAATATGCCTTTGGAGTCCAAATAAGAAGATTCGTGTGACTCATCTTCTCTCACTGTCTTCTTCTTCCCACCTTTTCTCTCTGTTACAAGTTGTAACTATCATCCGCGTTTTTTTCTTGTTTCAGGATCGTTATCAATTTTTCCTGCGTAGATACGTCTCAAGGTTTGTTCTCTTCTCTCAAAATCTCTTTAGCTGATCCAAATCTGTCTGTATTGCTAACTCTATCGGACTCTGCGTCGTCTCTTTTTCTCATGGAACAGTTATGTTATCGAACTTGTTAAAATTCGTATTGATTTGGAGATGAATTTGCGAATTTGAATTTGCGAATTTGAATTTGAATTTGAATTTGAATTTGAATTTGTGCATGCTTTGCTGATCAATTTGTGATGAATCGAAATCCAGAATTTCATGAACTGTTGAAAGCTGTAGCTAAGTGTTATTAACCCTACGATTTGATTAATCGAAACTGTAAACAAAATAGCGGAGAAGAAAGAAGAGAGAAACCTATTGGCTGTTTAAACAGTTGAGCAAATCTAATTTTAGGTGGCGAACGAACCTAATTACAGTTTCAGTTATGAGACACCAACGGATTCTTATAACTAACTCTTGATTGCAATCATGTTCCTAATTTTTTTTTTTTTGTTCGTTCTTGTGGTGATGATCAGAGCTATCAGCTGAATTAGACAGTAGCAAGAAGCCAAGGCTAGACCAGCAAGTTATTTTTGCTGGCTAGCTGAGATTTTTTTGCGTTTGTGATCTTTGAAAAAAAAATCCACATGAGCCCTCAAAGCGTATCTAAAACAAGCAAATCCCTAGAGGGTCTCCACGGGGTTCATGTGGTCTCCCATTCTCCTTTCGCATTTGAATCCTCAGATGCAAGAACAAAGCAGAGTCTCTTCATTGAGTAAGTTTTATCGCCTAAATAATAAAATCCTTAACATATTGAGATGTTTGTTCACTTGTGTTTGAGGTTAGATGTTTGATTCCTTTGCCCTTTTTTTATATTTAATCTTGTGCAGACGTGTCTGGCAACAAAGACCACCATGCCTAAGACCTATCCACTGCTGCATCCACGGTATCTTTTCATCTTCTTTCCTTTCTCTTCGCAGATTAGTTAGCTCTATAGATATTTTGATACTCAATATTATATGTGTGCTAACACATTGACAGGTGATCGGAGTCTCTTGGAAACAGCGGCTAATGTCATCACATCGCTTCCTTTTATTTTCCTCGGCATGCAGGCGCCAAGGTAAACCAATTCCTTTCTTGTTTTGTGAATGAAGTGTACTCTTTCCCCCTAGAGGTAACCAAAAACTATACGAATATAGGAAAAACATGAACATGAAGGTGTATGCAAACTCCTTGATCGGAGTTGGAGTCGCGTCGAGTTTGTATCATTCTTCGAGAGGGAAGCTGAGGAAGTACCTAAGATGGGCTGATTACACAATGATAGCCACAGCGACAGTAGTAAGTCTTTTACTTCCTCTGGTATAGTTTATACAAGACTGTTAACTATTATTATATTGTTGCAGTGTCTATCAAGGGCTCTTAGGGAAGAGAATCCAAAGTTCTTGATGGCTGCATCAGCTTTGGCTCTACCCTTCCAGCCTCTCGTGGTTTCAGCTGTTCACACCGGAATGATGGAGGTAGCATTTGCGAAAAGAGCCTTAAAGGATCCAGATTTGAAAACGGCTCATAACGTACACAAGATGTCTACGTTGTTGGGTGGAGCTTTGTTCATAGCTGACGATCTTTTCCCTGAAACACCATTCATTCACGCCGGTTGGCATCTCGCTGCAGCCATTGGCGTTGGGACTTGCAACAAGCTTCTTCAGTAGTTCCACGATACCAAATATATATATATCGTGTAGTTGTGGAACTACTGTCATATTCTTGGTTCAGAGAAACCGCGGTTTCACTGAACTCATTAATCAGCCGACATAGCTAGTTGTTACCTTTGTAGTCATCTTATCTTCAGTGTATATGTATGGAACCAAAACAAGTCGCTTGTAATCTTTAGAGAGCCAGTACTTTTGTTCTCTTTCTTGGATACATTGAAAGTAGTAACCTGTACATGTGCGTCTCTGTCTTAGATCTTCCAACGAGCATAAACAATAGTACAACTGAATCAATAAGAGTTGGGTCCATAAAAGAGTATTAAGCTTGGATACCAAATGGGAGCGTTCCATCTTACCTAGGCATATAAATAGAAAGAAGAGAACTCAATACTAGTGAAGTCAGTTCCGACTCTAGAGCTAGTTTAGGAACTACGAAGATGTGTTTCCTTGGGCATATTGTCCCAAAAAAACAAAACAAAACCAGACTATAATTTACAAAAAACGGTTCTATTTTTTCTAAATACGAAAAATCAAAATCTATTCGAAAATTGAATGGGTACTGAAACCTAAATGCTAACAATATATCTAAAAATATAATTTAAAAAACCGTACTAAAATACCCAAATATTTTTTTCTAAATCCAAAAAATCAAAATCTAGTCGAAAATTGAATGCGTACTGAAACCTAAAATGCTAACAATATATCTAAAAATATGATTTACAAAACCGAATTAAAAAAAATACACAAAGATTTTTCAGTTTTCGGTTAACTTGGGTTTTGTTTTTTATCGGTTTTGGTTTTGAACGCAAACCAAATCTGAATTATATTCAGATATGTTCTCTCTCTCTATTGATTCATGTTAATGTCACAGGAATGGTAAACCATCATGTGATGAGCATCACAGAGTTAGAAACGTGGAGGGTAGATAATCCTCACAACCAGTGGTAGAGTTGGAAACATTTTTATCGGGTTTAAAATTAATTAAAAGTTTGCATCATATATCGAGTGAAGAAAGTGCACAAAATTTTTACATAAATGATTCATCATCTATAGTGCATGACATCTTAAAACCATCTTCAATGGTGTTTGATTTTTTTCCTCATTGTTTTATTTTGTAGCAAATTTTGCTCCAATTGTGTTTTATTTCTTGCTTCAAATTGAAACAATGAATAGTGTTGCTTCAAATTTGAAGCTATATTTTTTATTGTTTCATTTTTTGAATCTGAACCTTTTCAATTATCAATTAGTCTTACTTGTTCTTATTTTTTGATAAAATAAATTATATATGCTAATACTATCCAATTAATATCAAATTTTTGACTATTATTTTTAAACAATCTGATATATGTATCGAAGAAAATATGAATATTCATTGTGGTGAACCCTCAGGCTCCACAACTATTCTTCCACGCAGATTGGCAATTGGGATCAACTCAACCTTCATGATGGGAATTTCAATGTTGAGTTTCAAGGAGATGCGTACAGACTCATGAAGCTTACAGTTCGAAACCATCAACCTTCTGTAGACAGTCACATTCGCTCAATATTGGTTGAGATGGTTTGAAGTCACGGTTCATCAAGATTTATAGTTAACCTCTACTGGTTTGAAATGGTTTGAAGCCACTGTTCATCAAGATTTTCTAGTTAACTTCTTTTCTTAGGAGTATGAGTAATATTCTATATGTATTTGTGTTTATCACTTGTTAGCTATAACCGTCTTCCACGATCAATGTTCATGGCCTACTCAAACATTGATAAAAACAATTAGTTGTACGTTTGTTACTTTTTGTCATCAGTAATTGGTTGGTCTGACTTCAATATTTATTTGCTTGCTTATGGTCTTCCTATCAATCACGCATGTTCAGATAATAACAACAACAAAAACTTATTTTCCTAGGAAGCATCATCATCACATGGATTTTGTGTTTTTCAAGTAATATGAAATTTTCTATGAACAAATTTAGAATGTAAAAATTTTTAATTTCAATTATTAATAGTGTATATTATTATTAGTGTATATTATTTATTTTATAAAAATATAGAGAAATATGATGGATTTTGGCTAACTATTAATTAATTTGGTTGTTTTGGCTCTTTTTAGATCCTAAATACTCGAATCCGATCCTAATCTATTATAGATTCGAAAATTATAGGTATTTTACAGGTATTTTAATTATAGATCTGAATTGATCCGAATCCAAAAGGAACCGACTTGAATCCGAACCGAAAATTCAAAAGTACCTATTAGATCCAAATGTTTAGGATCAGAAAGACATGTATCCGAAAAAACCGGTCCAAACCCGATTCAAAGATCCAAATCCATTGACCTAGATTAAATAAAACAAAAATAGCTAATGGATCCCGGTGTAGCTCCACTTTAATTTCAAAAGCCTAAAGGGATGGATGTATTGGAAGAATGGCCACCAATAAATACAGACATTTGCGAAATCCGGGGTCATGCATGCCATTGCCAACTATATAACTTGTTAATTATCGCCAATCCGTGTAGTATATATCTAGCATTTGAAAATTATATAAATATCTAAAGCTAAGAAAATTGTTTAACTTTATAAAGTATAAAGTTTAGTTATATTAATATTGGTGTACTATATGTGCTTCTTAAAAAGAAGAAAATTAACAATTTTAATTGTATACATATAAATTATATGTTAATGATAATAAATCAATATTATAATAATCACGTTAATGAAATGATATTCTTGTTGGTCAACTAAGGTCTTTAGCTTATTTCCCAAAAGTTATGTAGACTTAATCTATTTTGTATTAAACTTTTTAAACACATGAATAAACTCAGACGTCCAATCAGTGACACTTATGTATTATATTTGCGAAGTAATCAACTATGTTCAACTATGCTACATTATTTAAATTAATATATATTTATTTAAACTATAGTTTTAGAACTTTCAAGAAAAATGCATTTATGTTTTAGATGGTAGATGATTAAGTTTCAGAGATTAAACATCATAGCTTTAATATTTATTAAAAATTATACGGTTTTCACATTTATAAACAAGATCTATTTCTGTGTTACAAAAAAAAAAGAACAAGATCTATTTATAAGATTATTGTATTCGTAACGCTCAACGCAAAACAAACACTTCGGCCACCTGTTACTGTCTACCCAAAGCCATAATGAATTTAACAACTCGGAAATTAAAATTGGTAAAACACGTAATAATTGATCATACTCACACGACTATGATTTGACTTAACAACCCTGGTCAAACCCATTTCTTCCGCCAATTACACGTAAAAACACCTCCTCATTTTTAATTATTTTCCTTTGTTTATATTGAAAAAATAATCTCATCTTACAATGCGATCTAGTTATTCTTTTTTTTCATTAATTTTGGTTCACTGACCAGCTTGAGACTTTTATCTTTTGTCGTGTTCTGAGACTTTCTTTGAAATTTGATAATTCTATGAGGCTTAATTCCTTATTCCTTATTCCATATTCCACGCTTATAACAAAATCTTTCTCCTTTGTCTGGCTTTTTTTCTTTTGTTCTTTCACATGTGTGTATATATACACACACTCACATTTCTATTATCATATAATACTTCAACTTTACCTTTTCTCCTCCACAAAACTATTTCTCTTCATCAAATTATATTGATCCATTCCAGCTTTTCCTCATCCTCCTCTATGGCCGTCTCACCTAATTCAAGTTCCTTAGAATTAACTATATCAATTCCAAGCTTCTCTCCATCTCCTTCACTCCTTTCATCTGGTAAGATCCAACTGTTAATCTTAAAATCATCTTTATATATGTATGATGTAGAGTTTCAATAGTTATTTCTTTGAAGAAGATCTAAACCATATGTTTTTGTAGGTAATCACATGGTGAGAGATTTGGACATAAATCAAACTCCAAAGACGGTAAACGATCGTGAGTGGATCATGATCGGTGCAACACCGCATGTCAACGACGACGATGGCAACTCTGGCGGCAGGCGGCGCAAAAAGCTCCGTCTAACCAAAGACCAATCGCATCTTCTTGAAGATAGTTTCATACAAAACCATACCTTAACCCATGTAAGTATAAATCATACAATTTTTATGGTTCCGTTATATATTTTGTTTACGTTGCAAAAATGAGAGTTACTTCTTCATGATCAAGTCGGCTGATTAGGTTATGGTTGAATGATGATGAAATCACAGAAACAAAAACAAGAATTGGCCACTTTCCTGAAGCTTAGTCAAAGGCAAGTTGAAGTGTGGTTTCAAAATCGAAGAGCTAGGTACGTACTTGGGATCTACCGCTTTCGTATATTAATTGCATCGTTTGGTATACATATAAATTGAGGAAAATATGACTTGTATATCGTATACGGTGAGGCATGTTATATGTAGGGTTTTATGGAATTAGATATTTAGTAAATGAGGATATAAGTTAATTAACGAGAGTGCGTTGACAGAATATTTATATATAAAGAGATTATGTGCGATCGTTACTTAGATTCTCAACATCATTCACCATATATAAAATAATAGTTTTAGAAAAATCTAGTAAAGTGGAAATGATCTTTTCTATCCAAGTGTTTCACGTTGATTCACACATCTACAGTTATCACGCATTTTATGCGACACATGAAAAGCCCGTACTCTTATTTATGTGACTACGTGTCTATATATAAATGTCCCGTGATTAAAAATCAAAAATATAGAATCTAATAAATGTATCAACAAGAAAAAGGCGATAGGGAACATAAGGGACAAAGTTAGAAATAATGAATGATGTGTTTTTATTTATTTCAGCCATCTTTGGACTTCCAAAATTATGATGTTTGTTTCATATTATACTATACGTTTATTTAATGAAATATAAACTTACACACTGCACACACTTACACCTTTTTTTTTGTTCACCTCACACTCATTATCAATTTTCTCTTTATGTCTATACATTCATGATATAATGCATAATACAAGATGAAGGTGTGTATGTATATACGTACATGTGTGCATTAGTGCATGCATAGTATAGAGATAAATGTTGCGTGGCTGTTTGTTCATTGAGTCCATAGAGAAGGAAACTAATCACCGGACATGATGAACTGGATGGTTGAGAATGACTACCCTTAAAATGTTTCCGTTTTAATTTTCATAAAAATGTCGTGTTCCACCGTTATTTTTCTGTTTCATAAAAAATATAAACTAAAGGTGTAAACAATTTTACTTAAAATGTATAAAATATATACAGCTTATCATCCACTCAAAACTAATGTTTTGAATCTTGTATGACCAAAATTTTAGTTACGTGAAAAATATCAATATGAAATTGTTTGTGAAACAAGAAAACTACGAATTATTTTCTAGAATAAGATGATTTATGGCGAGATGAGCTTACGTATTGGCATTCTGTGTCAATCAGGCAGTATAATCATGTGAACACATAGTTCACACACGTATGTAAACACAGTTATAGCAAAGGTCGGCTGAATAGTCTCACAAAAGTATATAATTTTCAAACACCAAGTTCGTTAAAGATATATTAAAATATTGTAGCATGTTGATAGATATGGTTGTTATAGGATAATACCTAGAAACTACAAATAACATAAGCAAGATTAATAGTATGCATAGCTCATTTTAACCAATATCATGATCACACAAAGTTATTGATATACAGGAGTAAGCTGAAGCATACGGAGATGGAATGTGAGTACCTAAAGAGATGGTTTGGGTCACTGAAGGAGCAAAATCGAAGGCTGCAAACAGAAGTTGAAGAATTACGTGCTCTAAAGTCAGTATCGGCCCCGGTGGTAACCATGTGTCCTCGGTGTGAACGTGTGACCGATGCAGCAGATAATGACTCTAATGCCGTGGAGAAGGGAACAGTTCCGAGAAGCCAGTCACGGATGACAATTTCGTCTTCTTCTTCCCTGTGTTGACTGGCTCGGTCAAATGTCAAAGTCACAGATTGAAACGCATGTTTAGGTGTAAAGACTAAAAGTAAAGATTTGATGATGATTAGCAGGATCCTGTGCATAGTTCTCTAATTATTTATTACACCAATTTCCTAAAAATAACAAGTTTTTCTAATCCTCGTTTTATACAGCCTTTTTACATGTTCTTGATTCGTGTCCGTTGGGATTGAAAAGTAATATCATTACCTTGGAAATAGATGTGTTTTGTTTTATGTTAAACGACGAAAGCTTTAAACTGAATGTGAAACTAGATATATTCCATAAATTCTACTACAAGTTTTTAAAGAAAACAATTAAGTCATAAAATTTAATTTTAAAATAAGAACTGAACTATTGTAATCTGTAACTTTCAACTGTTATAAGAGAATTTCTTCAATTTTTAACTTTTTATTTAAGAATTAAAAACTAATCTATAACCTCCAAGTGTTATACTAGATTTTAGTGAATTTCTTTAATTCTTAATACTAGATAAGAATTGAACTAATCTATAACTTTCAAGTGTATGAGATTTTAATGAATTTCCTTAAGTCTTTTTTTTATATGAGAACTTTATTTCATTCTCTTTTCTTTCTTTTTTTTATAATTAATTTAATTTTATTATAAGAAATTCACATGTGAATCTCTTACTAGAAATGCTTTTATTCAGTCGTTACTAAAATAAGAAATAGAAAAGAGTAATTTCTCAGAAAAGAAAATCAAACTGACAGATAGTAGCAAGTGGCAAGCAACAAAAACAACACATCACTGTTATTTGACTTCCACAAGTCTCAAATAAGGCTGCTATTTATTCGTTGGTGGAAATAGGTAATCCGATCTTTTAATCAGTATATCGGTGGAGTTATTCACCTAATTCACCTGATGTCTCATTCCAAATCATTGTTGTTGTTTCTTTTTTTTTCTTTTTCGCTCAAGTTGAAATCTCTCTTTCATTTCTTTTTTTTGGTTCTCTTTCATGTGGTACTGGTCAATTCAAAATATTATTACAAAATAAATGGTTTCAGTTCGAACACTTTTACACACTGTTTGTGCCAAGTTTATCTCAACCCGAGTCTTACACTATGTTCGGAAATATACCATGCTCCGGCCACTACTTGAATCAAGCTCAGGTTTTAAGATTATATGTTGAATAAGTGACGGTGCACAAAAAAGGTTAAATAAGTGACGGATTCGAATACCATATCAAATTAACATGGGTTTCTAATTCATAATCAACTCGCGATTGGCTTAAATCTTCATATTACTAATTTAGTTTCGATCACAATTTCGGTGTCAAATTTGTATAACTTGTTTGTACATGAGTGATTATTTAAGCACCACATAAGGTCTTTTTTTCCATTACCGTGATGGTCTGATGGACATACGCCTCTATATAGTCTAGAATCTCTAGATGACAAGTCCACTTGGGGTTATACCAAAAAAAAAAAAAAGTCCACTTGGGGCCCTCATATAGGACTTTAGAGCATGTCCAATAGAAGTTTCTTAACATAGAATTTTCAAGATAAGTATATATCTAACTAGGGATATACTATAATCACGAGATTATATTTTGAGAAATATATATTAGATAGCTTTGGTGAAGGTAGTCGTACACTTTTACATTAAAAATATTTTAATCCATTAATAAATTAGTATCATTAAACTAGAAGGGACACTTGTTTTCTTCATGAATTTTTTGTAAATATACGTATTTTTAGATTGGCGATGACAAGGATATATAGCTGTTATCTGAAATCGGGCTATCTTTGGAACATCGTCGTCGAACAACGGATTTGTATTTTCGTGGCCCAATCAATGATAAATATTTGAAAAGTAAGCTCAACATTTTTTTTTCAGAGTAAGCCCAATGGGTTAAATTTGGCAAACATGAAATAAAATCACAAAATAATCCCTCCAAATACGAATACCAATGTTACTGTTACTGTAATCTATAGATTAGGTACAATAAACAAACCTGTTAACTCGGGACGAGATAGACACTACGATATGTAATTTCCTATTCAGCTATTCTTTCTATGCTTTAGAAAAAAAATATTATGTTACATATGTCTAAAGTCTATTTAGATACTAAAGAAGTGATTTAGACCTTTAGAATGGAGCATATTTCGAAATAAGAAAACATGTTACATATGTAATATCCAAATTTTATTTCTGACTTCTGAGACAACTCAGAGTGACAGAGGAATGTGTGTTCTAATTACTGAATTAGGAAGATTGCCCATGTGCTTTTCACGTGTGTTAATTATGGACAATGGACGTGACGCGTGCATGTCAAATGTCCCCATAACTTTTTTCACCATGTTTTCTGACAGTGTCCATGTGTACTAGTCTCATTGGTCAGAGATTCAACATTATCCTGTCGCATTTTTCTGGTGAAACAAAAAAACTCCTTGTTAAGGGAAATAAATAGATAGATGTGTAATGTCTTGTGGTAAGTAGGGTAGATTTAAGGGACCTCTCACTGACATAAATGATCGTGTAATCTATCTACATTTTTCTTTAAAAACTGTTAATTGATTTTCATATGAAATTTTATGGATTTAAAACATGAATGATTGGCTATGTTCAAATTCAATATTTTGCAATATACACCGAAAAAATTAGAATCACATCAACAAGATGATTACAAAGACGACTCAATCTTGTGATTAAAAAAAAAAAGATGAATCAGTCATGTACGTTATAACATGTGCAGTGCAGTTGATGTTCACAACTCACCCATCTGTCATTCTCTTCTTTCCATTTGCTAGTGAAACTTTAGTATTTGTCCCAGATCATTTATATATCAATAATTGACGATCAAAACTTCCTACTATTTGAACCTTTAATTAAGAGTTAATTTAAAAGGTTCATGACAATGTCCCTCTCTTTAATTCACGTGTTTAAGTCACTAATAGCCATCATTGTTCACTTTAAAAATTGTTTAAATGGCTTCTACGTACCATGCATTTCTTCGAAGAGCTAGAAGCAATACTGATGGATTATACACTTTTTTGAATAAAAGAACAAAACTACATGAACTTCACATTTGATTTGCATCAGTAATTGTCAAATAATTATTGGTGTTTCTTACATACAAATGATTTGATCGTGTGTACAATTCTGGTTATGTTACGAAATTTTAAACACGACTTGCAGCTGAAGTAGTTTAATTAAGCTGTTGAACACCGGTAGCAAACATCAATTAAGGTAGCAGTTAATTTGCTTGATTGTCCAACAGTTAGGTTGTCAAAGTCCATCATTTAGTCAATGGTCCAAGCATATCATCCATCAAATGTTAAATTTAATATGAGCGTTAATGATCCACCAACACCGTTCTTTTTCTCTCTAATGTGTGTGGTTGTTCGTGTTCTATCCTGTAACAGTTGATAAGTACATATCTCAAACATTTTTGGAGGCATCAGCCATATGTTAATCTAAATTTCGTTATCGTTCCTACATTTCCGTATATCGTTGACGAAAACTGTGTTAACGTTTGACTTGGAAACTAATTATTTGATGCACGAACATAATTATACACACAAAAAACTAAACTTTAGTTCAATTCCAAAAAAAAAAAGAAAAAAAACTAAACTTTTTTTTTGAACAGTTGATAAAAAGTTAGTTTCTTTTTATCAAACTTACTTCTATGTATATTAAATTTACTACACTCAGAACCCGTCCTTACATGAGGACGACCAGAAACAAAATTTTGAAAATTAACCACTTTTATAAGAATATTTGTATACCATAACAACAATTCTTTCTGAATTAAAACTGATTTTACGAAATATTTATTGAGGGCTAGAAGATGTTGTTTGTAGTGCTTTCCCTCATGGTCATGGTCGGTAGACTCGGTACTATTACACTGGATAAAAAATGTGACGTCATTACTAGAAAACATAATTTCAAAGACTTATAATCATGATTAAATATTTTTAAAAAATAGAACCAACATGGAACTTTTCATTATTTGATGGTGAATTTGCGTTTTCTGATAAGAGAGTGGACGTAGTGTTACAAAAAAAAAGATAAAGAGAGTGGACGCAATTTGGGTAATATTGTATTTTAAAAGTATAATGAGGTGCTTTGTAAGGCAAGTAAAGTGAACCAGGCTCTTTGAAACCTGATCATAAAAAAAAAAAAAAAAAAAAAATTTATATATATATATATATATGATACCGGGTAGACTTTTGAACCTGCTGTCTTTTACTGGCCTTTTCCGGTACAGCTCTACTGGAAAAGCATGTACAAGTACAAGTCATTCATCAAAGTAACCCAGAAAAACTAACTGCAATAATATGTACTTTTGTACTAGCTAGATGATTGAGTATATTTCTTGTAAATGAAAATGGTTACGTTGACATATGAAATGCTTCCAAAAGTTCCCTAAATCTTATGCCGGTATCTTGGAGAATTTATTTGGTTAATCGAAGCCAATTGTTTAATATATTTATAGATTGATTCAGTATGAAAATATTTGAATTGAATTACGACGGTGTATAATTGGTTTTGCAAGGACGACAGATATTATTTATTACAAATCGGAATTAATCATTCATGTTTGGACTTATTTGAGGGAGTTGTGTCCAGTCATGATTTATGCAACCAGAAAGATACAAACACACTAAGTCACAAGAAGGTCACGACATTCTTTGTCGCAGCCATTTATTCATATGATATGAGGCTTTAGTTGTGTTTACAGTGTTTCAAAAGAAAGAAAAAAGGATTTAGTTCTACCTAAAAAATAGTTCTATGTAAAAATATAAAAATAAATTGAGAAGTTTTAGTCATATAATAAGGGGAATCAGATTACATATTAACTAAATCAAAATGTCAATCCTTTTATCATATAAATTTCAGATTTAAATTTGTCTTAGAATTACTTTTTTTATAATTCAAATGTTTGACGTACCGAAATCCAACCGACTAATTTGTGAGGGAAACGATTTATTTATCAGCCCCAAACAGATCTGGTTATTTGCAAT